GCGGAACATGGAGAAAATAGCACCAGCGATGCAGAAAGTACCTGTTTGTCAAGTGAGAGTACAGACATGGACTAAAATCAATGGCCCGTTAAATACCTCCTATTGCTGTTTAAAGCACATTCTATCTTTGTGAAATAATTGTTAATGCAGGATCTTATAACTACGCAAAGGAATGAAATTTCTATACCTCCAGTCAGAGTAGAGGCTCAGTAAGGTACTCCGAGTTGTGTCCCCTTCTTTTGTGATTCTAAACTATTGGAAAGGCTTACCTAGAGTGTAATTAGGAATCAGGAGATCAATAAATATCATAATTAGCCCAGCCTGCATGGCTCAGTGGTTGACCTATGAACCAAGAGGTCAAGGTTTGATTCCCAGTAGGGCATATGCCTGGGTTGCAGGCCAGATCCCCAGTATGGAGTATGCAGGAGGCAGCCCATCAATGATTCTCTCTCATCATAGATGTTTCTATCTCTCTCTGCCTCTCTGAAATCAATAAAAATATTTTTAAAAAATAGAAATATCATAACTTCTGTTTTGGCATGCATATGTGTGTGTGTGCGTGCACACATGCACAATTTTCAATTTTTAGTAGTATTGTAACACTTTCTGGGAAATAATTGTGCTTTTATTTAAGAAAAAAGTTGCTTGCTTAGGTGTCCACAAATACTTTCCACAAGAAAGTATTTTATTTTATTTTTGGCTGTAAGAATGTATAATCACTTTTAATTACATTACATTTAATGGAAAAGATATCTTTGTAATATTGACACAGTAGAAAAACATGCACACCACAGGTTAAAAGTCTCATTGTGAAATGTTATTCGTTATAAGATATAGTGATTTTTAATTTCCTCTTTAAAAGAGAGGACTAAATTTTAATTAATAGAAGGTACTTATAGAAAAAAATCAGGAGTAGTGTTAGCAACCAATTAAGAAGGATTTTTGTCTTAAGAGTTTGTGTGTTTGATGTGAGATGGTTATAAATGTTCTATCATATTTTTTCTTTCCTAGTTTTCAGTTCTCCCATACTATACTAGTGGTGCTTTGTATGGGAAAAAATGTTTCAGCATATGTTCCCTTTCTTTCCCTTTAAGTTGTCTATGGTAAGATATATATATAGTTTTGCTAATGTTTACCTGCCTGAGTACCCAAAATCTAGCAAACATTACACTAGCGAATGGATCTGATTCTAGGTACCTTGAACCATTGTCGACTAAAGAGACTGTTCAATTAGGATATTATTTTACTGGTTATTTTCCTAAAAGAGAAACTCTTGGGATGAAATAGAGCTTAAAAATAGGATGTATGTGTTTCAGGGGATGAGAAAGGTGTGGAGATGAGGAATTTTAGAGAGAGTGGGCTTATATTATTATACCATGAGGGAATGGACATTTCAGTAGTCTTAAACCAACCCCCAAAATCTTTGAACCTATAGGCATTTGTGCGATTAAATACGGTGAAAACCTAGTTAATGAAGTATCTAACATTAAAAATCCTATATAATAAAAGGGTAACATGCAAATTGACCCTAACAGCAGAAGGACTGGGAATGACTGGTCACTATGACACACACTGACCACCAGGGGGCAGACGCTCAATGCAGGAGCTGCCCCCTGGTGGTCAGTGCACTCCCACAGGGGGAGCTCTGCTCAGCCACAAGCCAGGCTGACGGCTGCCAGCACAGCAGTGGTGGCGGAAGCCTCTCCCGCCTCATCAGCAGCGCTAAGGATGTCCAACTGCAGCTTAGGCCTGCTCCCTGCTGGCAAGTGGACATCCCCCGAGGAGTCCCAGACTGTGAGAGAGCATAGGCCGGGCTGAGGGACCCACCTGAGTGCACAAATTTTTGTGCACCGGGCCTCTAGTAACAATATAAACCGTAAATGGAAATTATCCTTATTTAGCAAATAACTTGACCTGCCAAATATTTTAGTGGAAGATTTTTGACAGTCCAAGTAGTAATGTTTTATTTTTATTTATTTATTTTTTTCTTTATTGATTAAGTTATTACATATGTGTCCTTATCCCCCCATTGCCCCTCACCCCCACCCCACTCATGCCTTCACCCCCCTGGTGTCTGTGTCCATTGGTTAGGCTTATATGCATGCATTAAGTCCTTTGGTTGATCTCTCCCCCTTACCCCCACTCTCCCCTGTCTTACCTCTGAGGTCTGACGGTCTGATCGATGCTTCTCTGTCTCTGGATCTGTTTCTGTTCATCAGTTTATGTTGTTCATTATATTCCACAAATGAGTGAGATTATGTGATATCTACCTACCTCCTACCGGCTTATTTCGCTTTGCATAATGCTATCCAGTTCCATCCATGCCGTTGCAAATGGTAGGAATTCCTTCTTTTTTACAGCAGCGTAGTATTCCATTTATAGATGTACCACAGTTTTTTAATCCACTCATCTGCTGATGGGCACTTAGGCTGATTCCAAATCTTAGCTATGGTAAATTGTGCTGCTATGAACATAGGGGTGCATATATCCTTTCTGATTGGTGTTTCTAGTTTCTTGGGATATATTCCTAGAAGTGGGATCACTGGGTCAAATGGGAGTTTCATTTTTAATTTTTTGAGAAAACTCCATACTGCTTTCCACAGTGGCTGCACCAGTCTGCATTCCCACCAGCAGTGCACGAGGGTTCCTTTTTCTCCTCATCCTCGCCAGCACTTGTCGTTTGTTGATTTGTTGATGATAGCCATTCTGACAGGTGTGAGATGGTACTGCATTGTCATTTTGATTTGCATGTCTTGGATGATTAGTGACTTTGAGCATGTTTTCATATGTCTCTTGGCCCTCCTTATGTCCTCTTTTGAAAAGTATCTATTTAGGTTCATTGCCCATTTTTTGATTGGGTTGTTTATCTTCCTTTTGTTAAGTTGTATGAGTTCCCTGTAAATGTTGGAGATTAAACCCTTATCAGTGATAATATTGGCAAATATGTTCTCCCAAGCAGTGGGCTTTCTTGTTGTTTTGTTGATGGTTTCTTTTGCTGTACAGAAGCTTTTTATTTTGATGCAGTCCCATTTGTTTATTTTCTTTAGTTTCCATTGCCCTAGCTGTATCGGTGAAGATATTGCTTCAGCATATGTCTGAGATTTTGCTGCCTGTGGATTCCTCTAATATTTTTATGGTTTCCCGGCATATTTCACAGACTTAGAACAAACTCTCCAAAAATTCATCTGGAATAAAAAAAAAAAGACCCGAATAGCTGCAGCAATCCTGAGAAAGAAGAACAAAGTAGGAGGGATCTCAATACCAGATATCAAGCTGTCTTACAAAGCCACTGTTCTCAAAACTGCCTGGTACTGGCACAAGAACAGACATATAGATCAATGGCATAGAATAGAGAACCCAGAAATCGACCCAAACCACTAAGCTCAAGTAGGCAAGAACATACAATGGAGTCAAGGCAGTCTCTTCTATAAATGGTGTTGGGAAAATTAGACAGATAAATGCAAAAAGAAAAAAAGAAACTAAACCACCAACTTATACCATACGCAAAAATAAACTCAAAATGGATAAAGGACTTAAACAAGTAGTAATGTTTTAAACTGCCATTTGGGACAGTAGTTTTACCCCTATTCACCTCTTACCCATCTTAGAGAATGCCAAAGACTGGACATTTTTATATAGTAGGTAACAGGAAGAGAGTCATTGCAAGAAAAACTAATACTTAGTGAGCACTTATTCTATGCCAGCCACTGTTATCAGCACTTTTGCTAACCCCATTTAATGCTCACAATAACCCTGTGAGGTAAAGACCAGTGTCATCATGTTATAGATTTAAATAGATGCATATAAATTTGAATAAATAATCAAAATCGATATTTAAAAATAGATTCGTATTATCATAGATGATGAAATGATGCAAAGAACACATAAGGTTTAACCAACCAAATATACTGGGGCTTAATTGAGATTCAAGCCATGATAGATTGTTGTCACAGTATGTTATTTTAACTCAACACTATATTGCCTTGGTTTCCCAAAGAAATGAAAGTTGATTGAACTAGAAGATTTGATATATGTATCTTCTCTATTTTAGAGGCAGCATGATGTCATAATTAAGCACTGCACCAAATTTGCATGATAGCTTCTCCGTGTTACTATGTTGAATCAGAATCATCCTTCCTGGAATCCTAAAGAACAAGGTTTAGGAAATCACCTACGTTAGTCCCATCAGTTATACCCCATGGGACAGCTCAAAGAGATTGAATTTTATTCTTCATGTAACCCATATTTTTAAAACAAAGCCTAGAGCAGGTCGTCTGCAAGAGATGATTAAATAATGAATATGTGGTAGACACTTTGTTGTAGATGAAGTACCATTGGATAATTTATTTACTTATAACAAGCATTTATTTGACTTCTATTGGCTTTGGTGGCAGTCATTGAGAATACGAAGCTCAGTCTTTATCCTTAATTAACTTACAACATAATATATTTTTAGTAGTAAAATAACCAACTAATAAATACATTTATTTTTATTTACCCTACAAGCACTGATAGACAATCTCAACTTTTCAATTTAACACTCTCCCAAATCCTGAAAGGTGATCATTACAATTTTCATTTTTTAGAGATGAAAAGACTGGCCTGGGGAAGTTGTGTGTAACTGCTCAGGGTTGCAACACTAGGTGGGCATCAAAGCTGGATGCCAGCCCTGGTCAGCCTGGCACTAGGTCTGAACTTTTCCACGCATCCCCAGAGTGCGATTTACTTTGATTACAATCACAGGCGATCCCCTCTCAGCCACCTATGACAGCCTGACAGGTTTATTTCTGAAGGCTCCACCCAGTGATTATGTAGGGAAGCACATTCTCCAGGTATAGAGAAGAACTGGTGAAAAGAGATCATCCAGGTGTGAAATGGGAGTTCAGAGCTTTTTCCTTGGTTTATTACTGCTCCATTGTGTGTACACTCATGCTCATTAGTGTTTTTAAGTGTCTTCATTGGGCTACGGTAACTTTTTTCTCTCTCTCTCTCTCTTTCAGGTATGGAAAAATTGTATCGACAAAGGCAATTCTTGACAAAAACACAAATCAGTGCAAAGGTATGTGTGAGGGCATCTGTACCTTTAGCTCTGGACTGTGCTGTTACATTGAGAGCCCCGCCCAGGTGGAGGTCCAGGCACCGGCTGCACAGGGGCACGATGTACAGTATATGGCCAACCTCTCTGATATTGCCGAGGCTTTGCTGAGTTGTATTTCTAGTACCATTGCTCATTAATTTTTTTCATTAACAAACAAAATGAAACTCACAAATTAGAACAAGTACCAAATTGCTTTCAGCATAAAACTAAATTACCTCTTAACAACTTTGGGTTGTCTGGTATGAATGATATCATCAGTGATGCAAATTGATTTCCTATATAAAAATGAGGAACTCTGGGGAAAAGTTTCCCATGCAAAACACGTTTTCATTTATCTGTTCTTTAAAGCTTTAGCAACATTGGTTGACTAGGAATGAATTGACTGATGGGCCCACTGTGTCTAAACTTTAGCTGTAAACACCTCATGGGATCTCAGATTTGGTATCTTATTAAGGCTTTTTCTATTTTTGGAGGGGGGGGATATTGTTGAAGTTATTTGACTGTGTCTATGGCTCATGTCTCTTCATGTCTTGGAATCCAATACTCTTAAGGGTTGCATTATATTATTTATGAAATCTATATGGTCTCTCTTTCATGACTCAGTTCTTACTGGAAAATTGGAATGCTTCCTGTAACATGTTATTTGTTGTTCCTCTAAACCAGTCACTTTTATGATACCGAGATTAATAAGTAGGGTAGAGCCAAGATCATTCTAAACACTGTCCCTATTTCACATATAAGTATAATGTGCAAAAGTCTTAGGAATGAATACTCCTACACTGCAGATCACACACTTCATGTCTCTTATAAACTTTTTTAAAAAGCACTAGGTAGTCAGGTACTGCAAGAAAAAAAAAAAGACATGGTTTCTGTCACCTAATAGCTCAATTTCTAGTTGAAAAAGCAACCATCAAGAAAACCAAGAAACTAATACTAATCAAATGATTAGGATTAGTCTATCAGCCTAATATATGTGAGAGTGTAACAGGTATCTACAAGAGGGGTATCTGCAAAATATTGTGGATAGAGAATATGGCGACTCCTTTGGGGCAAATTAAGTTTATAAAGACAAAGTACAATGATAGGCTTGAGAAAGGTTGATGTTTAGGAGAAAGAATTTCAGAATATAATTGATCAGACCCACATATCTGGAAGGAAAGAAGGAAGGAAGGAAGGAAGGAAGGAAGGAAGGAAGGAAGGAAGGAAGGAAGGAAGGAAGGAAGGAAGGGAGGAAGGAAGGAAAAGGGAGAGAGAGAGGGAGGGAGGAAAGGAAGGAGGGAGGGAGCCACCTAGGGAAATCATTTAATATGAAAATATGTATAAGTAATATTGATATAGATGAATAATAATATAGATGAATAATGCTAATGAGTAATTGAGTTAATACATGGATGATGCTCAAAAATACCTTGTGTTGTCTGTCCTATAAAATACTGGCAATATTAAGCAAAACAAGAATGTTTGTATTGAGGTGGTAGGATTATGGGTGATAGATTGTTATTAACTTAAATTTCTCCAAATCTGTTATATTGTCAGTGAAGGGGGGGGATAGCAAAGTAGTGCTTTGTCTTTGTAAAATAATATCAGATGAAACTAGCAATGAATTAGGAGAGAATTTTACCTTTCCCTTTTTAATAGGCAGAAGTTGAGTTTGTCTTGACCTTTCTTTAGGAAAGAATGAAAAGGGTGTGTGAGGTGGCTTTTTCAAACAAAATCACTGAGAGCATTGAGCCTGTAATTAGAGAACACAAATTGGATTTGGACTTTTCCTAGACACTTGCTTCTAAATCATTTGCAACTTTGCCTCCAGACTAAGACTATGCAATCAAAACCAAATATTATGAAAACTGGATTCATTAATGTTGTTTCTAAAGAAGTGGTATGAATTCAATTTTTCACAGGCTGTTGAACATGTGGCATATTATATGCAAGTTAGTGTTTAGGGGGATGAGAAAGTGTATGCACTTGTCTCCTTAGAGATGAAAACAAAAAGCATCAAAATTAACCATGCTATATTAACCCATACTCTAGACTCTTACTCTACCTTAGCATGTAAATGAAAGGATTTTGTTCTGTCTGTATCCCACTCATGCCTATTATTTCTAATTTAGCATATTAAATATTTTAGAGGGTTTTATTATTGTTGTTGTTGTTATATGTTAACTTTGAGAAGTCTTTGTAATAAATGAAAAAATGTACTTATAATATGTTTTGGGAATTATACGACTGCTTATTTTTCCTCAAAAGTGTTACATAGTTATGTACAGGGTGAAGCAAAAGTAGGTTTTCAGTAGTGAGTACATGAAACACAGAGTTTATTCTTATATTATTATTTATTAATTTTTGTATTATTTTCCATATGAACAACTGTAAACCTACTTTGCCCCACCCCTGTATTTACTCAGTATTTGTAATCACTTTTAACATAGTATATATTAGGCAAAAGCAAAACTATCCATAAACATGTAATAAAATATGTAGCCTTGCTGTTTTAAACATATATTTATAATTGACTGCATTTAATACTATAGCCTACCTGTCTAACTCTTTTGCAGTAATTATTTTTATTGGAAGAAATTTAAATAATTTTTATGAAGTTTAGTATAGCTTAAATAATATAGTGAAGCCCAGCCAGCATAGCTCAGTGGTTGAGCGTTGATCTATGAACCAGGAGGTCATGGTTCAATTCCTTGTCAGGGCACATGCCCGAGTTGTAGGCTCGATCCCCAGTGGGTGTTGTGCAGGAGGCAGCTGATCAGTGATTCTCTCTCATCATTGATGTTTCTATCTCTCTCTCTCCTTTCCTCTCTCTCTAAAAATTAATAAAAACATTTAAAAAATAATATGGTAGGAATACATTGCTTTTGCCCATAATCTTAATATTACTTTTAACTAATCCATGTCTTATAGATTAACAGAAATCCTTATGTCCAGATATTCTTCTTCTATCTTTCAATACCTTATTTTTAACATCAGACTTATATTAATATACACAAAATTCTCTTTTCATACCTCTACTGGGCTATGTCAAGTATTTCTTCCAAAATTCACCTTCTCAAGAAGCCCTCAGTAGACTCTTCCTATCCTATTTGAAAAGTTTACAACACCACCTCCTTTGAGTACCATCTGGAAGCAAAGATCCTATGCTACCTTACCTCTCATACTGTTGTGATTAGTTTGAGTCCTTCATCTAGATTATAAATTACTCAGAATACAGGGAAGCGAACCTATTGGCAAGGTATGGAGGAAGCAGGATGGTTCAGAGTGGAACTTAGATTGTAGAGGCCTTTTCTTTCTCTCTGGGATCCTTTGATGCTGCATCTATGGAAAGAACAGACATGGCTAGGTATATGTCTTCTAGGCCTATGAACACCAGGGCTACCAAAGACGTTCACATACACATGTTTCCCACAGTCGTTCTTGAAAAGTAAGCATTTGTACCTAAGAATATTTATTGTCCATGCAGAATTATTCTTTTTACTGGTTTGAAGTTATCTATTTTTTTACTGATCCATGATTTCATAAATATATCAGAAATTATATATTGTACTACATGTTTTAAATAATATGCAAAATATAATAATGTAAAATAGACAAATATAATATGGGAATGTTCCATTTATTACAATTTATGTAAACTTGCAAAAACATAATATCCTAGGATTTCAAAAAATATGGATTTTTTTAAACCCCACCTAGTTCTTCAAGGGTTTTCCAATTAAAGTCTATACCAAAAAAATTTCCAAATAATAATATAAGTTTTCTTGGACAAATGACAAAATATCTCTAAACATTGCTTTTCTCAACTGTCAAATGAGGTCATCTATATCTATGATTTTGAAAGTATTTCTCAAAATTACATAGAACCATGTTTGTAAATGTGTCTGGCACATACATCAGGTGAATTTTTCTATGGCTGTGGATCTGGATTTCTTCTCATAGAAACCATATTGTCTAGAGCTTGTTCATATAATTTAATGCAGTCCTGAGTACATATTACGTATTCAAGGAATGAGTATTTCATGAATTGACACGTGTTTGTTGACACTAGTATTGTTAATAGCGAAAAGTATAAGTACATAAAGAACATTTCATTCACACATTTTTGGTGTTGGCTATATGAGAGCCCTCAGGATTTTTTCAAAGCCCATAAACCCGATGTCTTTGAGTAAAAGCACATTCCGTCACAGTAGCAGGTGGTGGAATTCATTGTAATTGAGCTGGATAGGTTCTGAAAACCAAATGCTTCTTAGTTCACCCTTTGTTATACTCTTTACTACATTGTTTTGTAAGTTCAAAAGTAAAAAGAAAACCAAAAAAATCTGAAGACCTTTGCTTCCTTAGTGTTGGAAACCACAGTAAAAGCATGGATTGTCATTTAATTTGGTGGCTGCCATTGTTCTTGTTGATTTGTTGGTTATTCTTTTTGCTAATAAAATAGTGATCTTTTTTTTCTTTAGTAAAGAAATGATAACTTTAGAGTATGAAAGAGAAAAAAACACACCCCATGAACATGGCATTAAAAACAAAACAAACCCAAATCCCAAAACTATAAAAACCTAAATGGAATATGAAAGATGAATGTATCATTTGTTATGGTTCTGCAAGTGGCTGTAAGTGGGATCAAATGTCTCTTTAGTTATAAAATATTGATGATATAAAGTCCCTATTTCATATGATCTTTTAAAAAACTGGTGTGGTTTTCTCTCTGTTGTAGAATACGAGAAAATAGCAAGGTCTGCATTTAATTTGTACTACTTCTGTTAAGAAAAGGGCAGTTCATTTAAATTACTGGTCATTCTGCTCACATCAGCCCTGAATTGGAAGAAATCTGTATTCATGAAGTGTCTTTGGAACACCTCTATGCCACCTTTGAAGATACAATTTCTCTTTTTTATTAACTTTTATTTTTTATTTAAGTATAATTTGGTACATAGTATTATATTAGTTTCAGGTAAACA